ATTACACGTGGAAATTAATGTCAAGCAAGTTCTTCATTCATACCGTCAAGTCACGTCAAGTTCGTCAAGTCAACCAGTCGTTGGTTTGTATACATGCTTTTCAAAGTCACAAGCTCTTCCACCTGCTTCCATCTCGTCTACTTGTTGCTTGTGTACTTTGTAACAGCTTTTGTTCCTTCGCTCACGGCGTGTTTGGCCAGTTCACCAGGCAGAAGCAGCCGTATGGCGGTCTGAATTTCTCGGGAACTAATGGTCGACCTCTTGTTGTACGAAGCGAGTCTAGAAGCTTCGGTTGCAATTCGCTCGAAGATGTCGTTAACGAACGAGTTCATAATACTCATGGCTTTGCTCGAGATACCAGTGTCGGGATGAACTTGCTTTAGAACTTTGTAAATGTAACTGAAATAACTTTCTCTGCGTCTTCTGCTTCGCCCCTTTTCTTTGCCTTCTCCGCTTTTCCTTTCCACTTTTCCTCCTGCAATCTTCTCCTCCTTCTTTCCCGAACGTTTAGGCGGCATTTTCGATGTTTCTCTTCTCAACGAGTGAACGTGTTTAAAGTTCAGAGTGTTTGGGGTCTGGCAATTTATAGGAAAATTTGTGATGCCTAATTTGCAAACGGATCGAAATGCTCGATGTTTCATTGGCCGTTTTCTCCTGAGCGGGTGCTAAAAGCACGGAGAAATCGCACCATGACAAATAACAACAGTTTTGCTTGTGGCTATTGCATGCCACGATTTGTCAAAAATAAAGCAACTTAGAAAACATTTTGTTCCCAACTGGATTACACGTACACAACAAGAAACATAAACACAAGTATTTTCTTTAACATTTGCCGCGCTTAAGAAAAAAACAACTTCAATAAAGAGCGCCACAAATTTTATTGATACGAATGCAAAAAGACAAGCTTTTTTAACGGCACTGCGTATAAGAATAGTATAGTAAAGTTTTAGAAGACAATTTATGCGTTTGTTTTCAGCCTAGTTATAGTTTTTTGAAGTGAAGTTTTGAAATAGAGACTTAATCTCGGTATTTTTGTAGTTTATTTTCTCTTTCCTTTTACCTTTCAATCCGAGACGGATTAAAAAAAAAATAAGTTAGAAAAATAAACAGCTTATAATATTTGTCATGTTCAAGCTGGTCTCTTCCTTTTTCTTACTAGGTTGGAACGATATGTGTCCCATACCTGAAGTACGTTACCTTTTTCAGTCGAATACAGATCCTTTTGAGTCAAGCTGACGTGTCCACTTTCGGATCACTCGTGCCTTTTTCGATAGGACAACAAGAATCGGAGACCGTTCGGGTTCGTTTACGATGATTTGCCGAAAGGAACACGAGTTATCCCGACTTTCTTAATTTGCTTTCTTGCAGGTCGCAATGTTTATTCGCGACGAGGGCAAAGGTACGTTACTCACTGATGTACCCGAATTTTGCACCAGCGAACCGACCGGCACACAGAAATGCGTGACGTCTTTGAGAGGTGGTGGCCCTGATTGTGTGAGTTTGCATTAAACATTCTCCTTGTTTGTTGAGAGAGGTTGGAAAAGAAGATTGTAAAATCTGGGGTAGGGTGTAATTTTCATTATTCTGAAAACCAAACATTATCGTTGTTTGTTCAAAGGGGTTAAAAAAAGTGTAAAAGCAGGGTGGTCGTTTTCTGTATTCTTATAACCAGTGTACTTGACATTGTATTGAGTTTGTAAAGAGAAATTACAACAGGATCTCGCTATCAAGAAAAGGCGGAAGTTCGGGATAACCCGTAGGAAAGTAGTGTACAGGTGTAAGAATGGGGATATCCTAACGGTTTCATAAGCATATCCCATGGTTTTTAACTTTAATATAACCGAGTTTAAAACAGGAGCATTCTAATGCAAAATAAGAGTTCAATTATTCCAGTAATACTGAGCAAACAAAAAACCTAAATTATGTCTTTTTTCGCAGGGTGATCTATCCTTGGATAACATTTTCTTCGCTGTCAAGACTACAAAGAAGTACCATAAGGACCGAGGTATACTGAATAAATGCCGTAAAATTCTAATACTAACCCTTTTCCCTCCTTCACCCGAAAATATGCGCCCCTAAATCTTAGACACAAAAATCCTCCAATGGTAATCTTCTTCGAATTTAAGTCCGTGGACTTGTATCTAATTTAAGCTCTTTAAAAAAATAGAATTACTTCCAACTATTAAGCCCCGCGACTGCTGTTCTTTTTTGTATTACGTCCGGTGATATGTCAGAGACTACTAACGATGTTCACCTGATTCCTAAAGAGCTTACGTTGTGTTTCACATTGTTATTTTTAGACAATTCTTACAACTAATGTTATTATATGGTCGACTTTTTCAGACGGGAGATCACTTTCAGTCAGTTGTTCGAAACGCAAATTTCCTTCAATAATAGCAGTACTCTAAAAGCTCGCCAAAAACCCTGTTTAACGTCGGTACAGTAATTTTGCTGTACTTAAGGTTTTTAATACGAATAAATACCAGTAAAACCTTTATTTTAAAGAAGTTGTACCCCTATATAGCAAACAAACGTGGTGCACTTTCGACTTTTGGTTTTTTCATGGACTGAGCAGAGCAAAAAACCATCGAAACAAATGTCAAAAGTCACCAAAAACGTTTAAATTAGCGATTCTTCTCAGTGGTCAAATTGCAAAGACAATTGCAAGCTCTGAGGAATGCCAAACGTTGATGAATGTATCTTTTCCAGTTCCCATTGTGCAGAAAACAGTTGGAAAGTTCGCTAAGCATATCGTGTATTATAGCGAGACAGAGGATCCCTCCATACCAACTGAGAACATTGGAGTCCCTAATACAGAAAGAGGTAATATTGTGATTTTGAACGTTTTAAGTTAATAGAAACAGTCTGTTATGTGTCAATAGGTAAGGTTAAGTCTGCATACGAGCCAAGTGGCCCATAGGCCGGAGCTTATCCCGGTTTCTGTAGCATGAAGCGACCAGGAGTATTTCTACTCCCCCGTGGATGGGATGCTGGTCCATTGCAGGGTTACCCCCAGCATTAAATTCGCCGGTACCCATTTATACACCTGGACGGAGAGAGGCGCTGTGAGAGTAAAGCGTCTTGCCTAAGAACACAACACAGTGTCCCCGGCCAGGGCTCGAACCCGGACCGCTCGATCCGGAGTCGAGCGCACTAACCATGAGGTCACCGCGCCTCTCAACTATGTTTCAATAAGCTGCTCCCCAATTCCAGCGAACAATGGCGCTGTGTCAAGGTCAGGGTGAAAACAAATACAAGAAAAATGTATGAAAATGTCCACCCCAAAGCCGTTCTGGTGTTGTTGTTCATATCCACTGAAATGGAATGCGGGGAAGCTAGGTCTGATGTCCATCAAATACTTGTTTTCAGTTTTTCATAATCCGTTCAGTCATACGCTTGTCATTTTTATTCTCCGTAAAATAAACTACAGTTATGAAAATAAACAAGTCAACATTCTGGGCCGGGTTGTTCGAAACCGGATTAAGCTAACCCAGGGTTAGCGAAAATTTTGATTCGAGTTTTGTAACTTTTCGGTGACGTTTTCTGTTTATATTGTTTGGCCTTCTGTTTTCATTTTGAATAATCTCAAACTACACAAAACCTGTCGCCTGTTTGCAGCCGGAAGTGTCACAAAATCGCCGTTAATACCGGCGGTTTAGACTGTCTGCGCCGCAAAACATCAGGAGTGAAAAACACTTTTATACAAGAAAAATCAATACTTCGTTGCACATTTAATTTGGTTTACCGTTAACCGGCTTTCGACTGCTTGAATGGGATCGAATTAATAACGCATGAATAAAACCTGTTTTTCTTATTCCTACTTCACCTTACCTCCAATCTTGGTCGGAATAAAGCAAGACCGTTCCTCCAAACCCTGACTCCGAATTAATGATGAATTTTTTTTTTTAACCAGAACGCGCCTTCATTAAAATGGGGCAGTTAGAATGATCATGACTGTCAGAAATGAAACCAAACTTCCCCTTGGATCAATGATGAATTCGTGATAAAACCAAAACGCTCCATTTTTTCCATTGTTGAAGTGGTTGTTCGCCTTTGTTTGGTTTCACGGCGCCTCGCCCTTAAAACGAATCGAAGTGAAGAGAACCCTTTGTTACCTACATTCAACAACTTTGTAGCTTCCGCTCAGTTAGTAAAGCATTTGTACCTGTGTCTACAAAATCCCGTTAAAATTTCATTTTTGGGACATTCTTTTCAACTACTCAATCTCATTTTTTTTGAGAGCGAAGATCTCTTTTACTCGTGTTGTGACCCACTGTTTACATGTTTTATTTCATAATTTATGTACATTATCTCAACTCAATATATGAGGCTGTCAGTATACAGTTGGCCTTTGTACAAGGGAATTTAGAAAATGTACAGTCAATCTATGTACAAGGAATTTTGAGATAGGTATTACTGAAAACAAGAGCCTGATAACTCCCTGTAGACCGTGTTTCCAGACTACTGTAGAATTCGTTCAGTGTTCCAAAAAGTATGTGAACGACAGTGAAATTTTGAGTTGTATCATAGTTAATAGAGGGAAATGGCTAGGAAGGCCGGTAAACATCAAAGAAGCAAACAAACAGGCTGAAATTTATCTTGGAAGGTCCTTTCCCTGCACATCTTTTGTTTTATGCTCATTGACTATGCATGAACTACATAATCGCAATGCTTCTATTGGTTAGTTGTATGATCACACGTAACCACTTTTTGTATTTTGCCAGCCAGGTTTTGTCCAGGGTCGACCCCCAAAATAGCAAACAAAAACATATAACAAATAACTTTGCCATGTTTCCTACCATTTCCCTCTAATAACTATGGTTGTATGGACTGCGAATTTGCGCTTCGCAATAATATCTGGAGAGAAAAATCTAGAGAAGCTAGCTTTTAGCTAACTCTCAGTTGCTTTGTAGCCCACATAGCGGATTTACACAGGTATTTGGAAAGAAAAAGACATAAATTTGCCCCTGTTGAAGCCGCAGATATTCGTTTCCTTTTCAAGTGTTGAAGTTGTTTCATAGCTGCAAAGATCACTGATTTTCACATGAGCAGTGTGGAGAAAGTGGATATCGATCACTCACATCATTCAATCAGAAATTGCACAAGCATTTCAAAATTTGTGAATTCATTTTGTCTCCGTGGAAACTAATACTTCATTGCTGTGCAAGGATAAGAAATGAATGTATTTTGATGAAAGCGTCGATGAACTGAACTGACTACCTTAGTGGTTATTGCAGGCACTCGACATTTTAAAGGTGAAAATGATCTTTCCAGTTGTGAAGAGCATAAAGAGCTTTGACTAATCATAATTTCCGTCTGGTAGAAGGCTGACCGGTTGGCTATTTACATTGCACAAAAACTCAGTTGCTGGTTTCAGTGAACTTATCAACGAATTCAGAACTGATCTCGATACAGGGCGTGGCAGACACACGTAACTCGGTTGAAATTGCGACAGATGTATACGTCGTTCTCAACCCCGGTCAAACTTCAGTTTGTCACTTCTGTAAATTCTATTAGAAGTCTGATACGGTATTTATTAGCCTTTGGCATGATGGAAATACCGGTCGCGTGTCCTGTATTTCGGGCGTTAAAAGAACCATATTAGAGGCTCTCCTTTGTGTTTCTTGCGGCGTTCTTTCTCTGAAGGTTTACAACGCTTTTGTTGCTTGTGTAATTGTTCTTTCTGTAGTAAACGCATTCTCTGACCTTCTAGAATCCCGAACGAAAGCGGCAGAAAGTTCCTCTTGTCTCTCAAATCGGATTTCTCCCCCTCTCGGTACTCTCCGTAATTTTGGTCGTATATGACATAAGGCAGTCGTTTGGCGGAAGCGTCCGAGCCTTGAGAACTAGCTGTAGATGTCGAAGACTTCCTTGGTTTATTTCGTTCAGGCATTACTCGTTGAACTTGAAGCGAAAAATCATAGCAGTGTACTCTTCGTCGTCTTTTTCTTTCTTCGTTGTTCACCGGCCCATTTCTCAATGGAATTGCAGGCAGGGTTAACCTGGGTATCTCGACTGTCTCGCTGACTTTATCTAGCACTCTATCCCTGGTATTTCCTCGAATTAATCGTCCTTGTACCGCAGTTTTCTTTTTATCTTTGTCTTCTCTTGGGTTAACCGCATTCGTCCCTGCAATGGCAATTTCTGGGTCATTGCCGTATATTCGCGGTAACACCAATTTTCCGCAGCTGACTGTTCGCCGCATTACGGCAAATTTCTTCTGTAGGAATTTGACTGAACTCTTCTCTGTAAGCTTTGAAGCTGTTTTTATAGTTTACACTTGCGGACAATTAATATGTAAACTCGATTTTTAGACTAAAAGCGGACGCGTAATCTGTCTACGCGCTTGATTCGTCTAGTAACCTATCTTCTTCGAAGGATAATCCACCTCTACGTCTAAATTTACATTACTTAGAAGCTTTATCGGCGTGCTTCTTTTAAAATGTACATCGTCACTTGGTTCTAAACAAACAATAAATATCTGAAAGCGCGTGGCTTCAACTACTTAAAGTAATCTTTCTGTAGCCATGTCACAGACAATAGCAGTCTTGTTTTCCTCCGTTGACAATATATCCATGTTCACACGCGTCTTAAAGGTAAATCTTCCGTGAAAATAGGATAGCTTTTGTTCCCCTTCCTCTTGCTTTTTTGTGAAGGTTCCTTTTATAACAATTCGATGTTCAGATGTACATAAAACTTCACCTGCTAGAATTGCAGCATGCTAACTTAAGATCAGTTCCACCAACCCTCGCTTTTAAATTGCAAATTGCAAATTGCAAATTTTATCCTGGGTAAGTTCCCAAAGCAGCAAAAATGAAAAGAATATCTTCTTGAAAACAGCACGAAGATGCTAAAGGTTTGACAAAATTTCTCGCAAACGAGGCTTAGTAGTGAATGTTCGGCATGTGACATAATCATGCATACAGCATATTAAGCGACAGAAAGCAGCTTAAATGGCAATGTATGAAGCTGTCAAAAAGTGAATATTGTGGCTTTGAATTCCATGAATATCACCTTAAAAAAATCAGAAGAACTCTATAATTACAATAAGAATTTAATTTTAGTGCGCAGCCTCATTGCTTCTCGCCACTATTAAGGGAGCTCAGTCACAGCATATTGAGTTATTTTGGCCTTGTATGAACTTACCTTTAAATTAAAGAAAACCTGAAAATGATACTAGTTTACTAAGATAGAAAAACACCAAAGAGATAATAGTAAACCATAAAGGAACAAGGATGGCTAAGGATGGAGAAGATTAACACGGATTACAACTGACAAGCTTTAAAAATTTAAGTTAAACTTTTCAAGATGCGAAACTGTGACGTTGCTCCTTCAAAGCTACCCTCTCAAAATGTTCGGGGTGGCCCTTAGCGCCGTGTGTGGTAACCGCATATGTAAACTGAAGTTTTTTGCTGACACTTTTGGATCGACCTTGTCTTGCTCACAACGTCAATACGTCGAGACAGACATCCGATCCAAGTGATATCTTTGACCTTGTAATCATGAAACAACAACAAAAGGCTTACGGCGGGTCACTCGTGCCTTCGACTTCCTCAGAGCGGAAGAGCAATCGAATCCATTTAATGTGAATATAATTCCAAGGACTGAAGAAACAGGATTGCAAAATCATCTCTTGTTAAAACAATGAGAACAAAGTTTTACGAAATACTCAAAGAGCCTTTATTGACCCTTATGGACTTTAGAATCATTTCAGAACAGTTGTCCTTGAGTTTCTGACAGTGGAATTTGTGAGAGGACTAACGAGCATAACTTACTGTGGTAAATTAAACAAGTTTTGTTCACAACACGCCCTTTTTAAAATGAACAGCAAGGGCTTAAAAAACAGTTAAACCATTTCCTTGATTTGCAGTCACCCTGGCGGTTTTTTATTTTGTTTTTGTTTTTTTCTTCCTTTTTAAAAAAAATCTGACACGTAGACCTCTCTTTTCATCGAGAACGTACGGTTATCGATTAAAAGCGGTTTCGCGTCAATCAGACAGTATTAGGAAATCCGTATGTATTTTCAGTGAACTAACCTTCATCAAACGAGGCTTCTTATCACATCGTTGCATTCAGAACTATAGTCGTTACCTGTTAAGAACTCTTGTTAATGTGGCATTTTCTTAAGCGTCTAGCTTCCCTTCTATAGAAAATGTGCAGCGACAACATGAAAACGTCGTTTGGCCTATTTTGAGTTTGGGGTCAGCCTTTAAGCTTTGAAAAATGCGAGATCAATTAGCAACCCGGAACATGCAGGTTTTTTATTGATTGTATCTTTCTAGCGTCTCGCTAGGTGTTATTTTTACTGTCGCAGAATTTTCCTTTGGGATTGAGGCGTGGTTTAGAAATGAGACGCTAAGATGTTGTTCGATGCTGTGATCGTAAGACGTGATCTGGTATGAGTCAGTGTTCCCTTCCAGGGTTCTCATTTATTTAGGGAGTAGAGGGCTAGTTTGATGAAGACGACAGCTGACAATGATTCGGATACCGAAGGCACAAGCCTCTAGGGAGGTCTGAAGGTTTGTTCCCCCAGAAAATGTTTGAAGTTGAGAGGCCTGAAATCCTTGGAGATATTTCCTCAAAAAAATCAATTTGGAAAAGGTTCAAAAGCCAAGACCATTACGGAATTACAAAGACTTGTTTTCAAATTTTTATCCTTCAGCGCTGGCGCAATTGAAAACGTGCGCCACACGCTGACCCTATGCCTCCTCTCTAGCTACAGCCTTGACAGTTATTAGACAACGGGCAGACAAAGACAGTCAAGGTTCAGTCACGTTCCAAAAGACCTACACACGTACCATTTCACGAAAAGTAGGCGGCTCAGAAATCGAAGTAGCCTTTTTTTTTTTTTAGCTGGCGGCCGGAGCTTAAGGAGCGGCTTTACCCGAATTTAAGTGAAGTTTTAGGAAGTTTAAAGAGGGATTAAAAGGAAAACAAAAGTTTTGGAACACCACCAGACAGTTGAACGCCCCCCGAAAGGGCACCCCAGGTTGGTGGACCACTAAAAAATTTACAAAACGGCCTAAAACGTAGATATGTGGGATGAACAAAGAGATTTTTGATTACTCGAACCGCGGTGAACGAGATATTTGCGTTAAAACCATAATACCCAGCCAAAATACGGCCTTCGTGTTAACCCCCGCCTTAATGAGAACCCTGCCATAAACTGAGGGAATAATGACTCAAAGAAATAATGGAACACTAAGTCGTCGGGCAAGGAAACACTAAATCGTGGTTCCTTGAAGGAACTCTGGGGCGTAGTCCAATAGCGAGGCAGTAAGTTATGAACCAGTGATGGGACATAAATTCTTGGGTGATTTGGCTGGTGAACACTAAATTAATTGTGGTCCGGTAAGGGAACAGTGAACAGTGGTCTAGTTAACGAACACCTTCATAGTGACCATCGCTCGGGACAACGTGGAAGCATCTCTCTTAACGGGCCAGTTATTCGAAATAGATTATGCTTTAGAAGACTCGATATTGCCATGGAGACGATAAGCAAGGTATAGAGTGGTTTTCATTTGAGTGTCGAAAAGTAATTGGTTTGCGCTTTCTACGCTACGCAGTTGGCTTAAAAAACTCGCGCCAATTTCCATCCAATCAGAAGTAAAACCAAAACCAATCGTAACTCACTCGCACACGTTTTCCCGCGCTTTGCGTCAGCTGCTTGTAATCACTCTGAGTTTTGATTGGCTCACTGTAATGTTTATGGCGTTTGTGATTGGTTAGAGTGATTACTTTGGTTTTGGTTTTACGACACTCAATTGAAAATCGCTCCAGTATGAATGCGACGGGCAAGAGTCAGTTGGTACTTTATGCCGGTGGGTCGAGGATACGCGAGCCAATTTATGGCACGTACAGTAAGGTAGATATCTAGATATCTACTCTGGTCATGTGGCTGAAGATGGAATATAAGCCTTCCACGAGGGAAGGGTTCATAGTCACTGCGGTGTTTTGCTGAGTAATTTGGACTGGTGTTTCAGGACACTGTGCCAAGCTGCAGGCCATCATCAACAGATCAGCCTCCGATCCCAGGGCTGCTGACAAACCCTGGTTAGTAGTTCTTGATGACGACACAATAATGAGGTAAATAGCTGAAAATTATGAATTTAATAAACCGGTCCCTCTTAGCCTGCAGAACATGCGAATTAGCGCAGCGGCGGAGCGCGAAGTGCGATACACGAGCGCGTAGCTCTGCCCCGCTAATCCGCTAGTTCTGCAGGCGTATAGTACTCCCCTCTACCCCTGAATATGTAGACTCGATTTCCGCCTCCCGCGTCTACGTTTTTCTCCTTCAGGGGAGGAGCGTGGGCTCCTCTCCCGAACAGCGGCTAGAAATCGAGTCTACTGTCCGGATATATTGCTAGACTTTTAGCTGGTATTTTTGTCAAGTTATGCCCCAACAATTAGTCGGCACCCATTCATGTGAAGACGGAGATGCATTGTAAGAGTATGTAATCTTTCCCAAATGCAGTGGTCAACAAGACACTTCACCTCGAGTGTAACGTGCCATTCTGCTACAGTAAGCTGTCATGTAAAGAAGATTACCACAACTTTTCACCAATGAATGAGCATTCGGTTGGAGCATCACCTGATAAAGATAAATAGTATTGATTCATCTAATTGTAAGTGCTGGAAAGAGCTGGAAATTGTTGTCGTCCACCTTAAAGGTTTACATAGTGTCACAACATTATTTCTTTGAATCCTTCTTTCGCATAGCGTGCCCCGATTGCAGAAGCTGTTAGCGTGTTATGATCCGAAGGAAGTGACACTGCTCGGTGAGCGGTACGGTTACGGACTGACCGGGGGATATGGGTACGAATACATTACTGGGGGAGGAAGGTAAGTCTTGACAGTTTTGCAACTTTTAATGTTTGTTTTTTTTTCCTTAGCCAGCTAACTACGAGCAGTGTGCCTGTGCCTAAAATTATTTGAATGCTTGAGTGATATTGTAGCGACTTTGCTCAGTTCATTGTAGCGATTCCCAAGCTGTTTGGTTCGTTAAAATTCGTCCAGTTTAATTTAAGGTTACTGTATACCTTTTGAGGTGTCTCGTGTCCAAGCGAAGAAGCGCGTCCGGTTTCAGCTGTAGATACCTAAACCTAAGGGTATACGATAACACAAACCAATGATAGCGAGAGACATTCAATCTTACCAAGAGATTATGATCATAATCTCTTGTTCTTAGCCAATCACAGTCGTGATTTCTTTAAAGTAACTTTAAAGTAACGCGCTTTTCCGCAGTTGTTAAGTGGTTACATAATTTTCCACGCCAGCCACTGGTTACCGGTTTCCTCGCGTTAAGTCCCCTCCCCTTCCCCCTCTGACGTGTTTTTGCTTCAAGTCCAGATTGGTTCTGAGACATTTTCGAGTCTCGGAACAAATCCCTCATCGTTGGTTCTAGTTTTAGTTAATCCTCGTTGGCTTAAGTTAAACGCCAGCCGTTCGACACCCCTCTCCCCTTTAGCGCGGGAGAGGTCGCGTCAAGGGCGTTTGTTTGTGTTCAGTCTTCTGAAATCTATACAACCTACAAAACCTCTGACTGCAGTTTGGAAAGGTAATCCGTTGATATGCTCTTTTCTATTATCTTCCCTTCAGAACCTAAGTGTTATCTAAGGGTTACCAGTCTCTCTCGTTCCAATTTTACCGTTTGTATTCTGGTTTCAGTATGATTCTAAGTCGCGCTGGTATTGAGGCCTTGCTAAAAAGCGGCTGTACGTGTTGGGAACCAGACTCCCCCGATGACATGTGGCTGGGGAACTGCTTCCGAAGACTGGGAGTTCCTCTTACACACAATCCTGCTTTTCACCAAGTACGTTAATTTATTTTAACCTCTAAACTCTAGCTAGCGACTTTTTAAAGGAGCTAGGAAGTAATATTTTGGACATTAAAAAAACCCTAAATTACTGAATAAGCCTTTAAGGTTTTAATGTCAGATATAAGAATTTGGTGGTGAATAAAGGCAGTTTTCCCTAGTTGATGAATTTCTTCTTTTTCATTAACCATATGCTTGACAATGTATTGACATTTAAGGAGAAAATTGATACTAATCACCTTTGGAAATTAACAATCAAGTGTTCGGAGTAACAGCCTGGCCTCGTGCGCATCGAACCTGTAGTTGTTAATCTTCGAACGAGTCCTGTTTTTGGTTCACTGTAAAACAATAGATAACCCATCCAAACATTGACGCTTTCTTCAAAACGGTAGCATCTACAGTATAACGGGACTAATGAAAACAGATCTCTGGAGGTTGCTGGGCCTTCATTTGTTTGCGTTAGATATACTGATGTTGAGTTTTTGGTTGCTTTGTTTCTGTTTCAGGCTAAACCAAATGAATACGTGCCTTCACTGCTAGCGCACCAGACTCCTGTGTCATTCCACAAGCATCAAGATTTAGATCCACTTGCCGTGTACAAGGAGTATCTAAGTTGATAGATATGTTTTCTAAAACAAAATATGTTAGGTTTATAGACAGACTATCGCCTCCTCTTCTCTCGAAGAATCGTTTGTGCCGAGTGTATATTTACATGTGAGGGGCAGTGTGAACGATTGACCAAAAATAGTAGCTGGGGCGTTTGAGATGGATCAGACCCCCCCCCNGGGGGGGGGGGGGGGGGGGGAGGGGTATTCTGAGTGTCCTGATAGTCGTTTTGGACGTTTTGGATGGTTCCGTTTGTGCAGAGAGGGTGATATGAAAAGTTTCAAAACAATCCGTGCCAATCCAAAATTCAGTAAGAGTGTAAGGATCCACTTTGCTGTAGGAAATTGGAAAGGAAATTACTAAAATAAAGAAATATCAGTTTTGTTTAATTATTTTTCGGAAAAGATAAAGTTCGGTCCTTTAATAGTACGTGAGATAGCTGAAGTGCGGGAGAGCGGGAAAACATATAGCGGGTGCCAAGCGCGGGAAAAATCACGATTGGGTTTAGTTTTTGCAGCCGATTGGCCAACAAGATGATGCCTCAATTCTGATTGGCTAGAGCATGCTGCACGAGTTTCTTGGACCAATCACCGCTTAGAGAGTAGGGTTTCTTTTAGTCATTGGGAAGGCACTTTATGTTACAGAGAATTTCATTTATTCATTTCAAACGTACCGACATGGATTTTTTTTCGCGGGGAATTGTCACAATTGGTTCTTCGAAGATGAAGTATTTTCTCACAAAGAAACTATTTAAATATTAGGATGTCATAATAGAATATTTCTGGGTAATAAAAGTTATATAACAAAAGTGTTTGTTTATTTGTTTACTTCCTTGCTAAATCGCGTTTATATGATATTGCACGTCTTGAGCAAACAAATGAATGAAAAAACCTTATTGCACAGTAGGTAAGAAATGAGGAATGTTATTTTTGCTTGAACGATACCCATTTCTTCGTTGAATTTTATTCAATAACACTGGCAGACTGCTTTTACGAATCAGCTGCTTCGCAACGGTTTAATGTAATCTCAAGTCATTAATTAACGTGAAGCGGTGCTTGAAAGAACAACATTTAGAAGAAATTTGAGATAACGCCTCATTAATGAGAGCAATTTATGACTCAGTTTGAAACCATAGCCCCATTAGGCTTTTACTTTGTGGGTTTTTTGGTTTCAGTGTTTCGAAGGATTAAAAAAGAGCTTTCGAAGGTCAATGCAGGAATATAAGACTTCGTGTAAAAGGTTATCACAAAATGGTATTAATAAAGTGGTTTAAAATTCCGTCGTTCATAAAGAAACGTACGTTACCATGACGGCTAACCAAATGGACGTATTCAAAGATGTACACAGCAGATAGTTCAAAGCAGCAGATTGATGTGAACGAATCCACAGCTTTCTCAAGTTTTTTCGTATGCACGACTATCTAGCCGTCAAAATGCAAAGTCTTTTTGCTCAAGGTAACAGGTGCAACCAGGCTCCGTCAGATCCTCGTGAAAGTATCGAAGAGTTCCCGACTTTTATCGACCAATCTCAAAACGGAAGAGCACTTCCGTCAAGTTGTCGCCATCGAGATATTAGGTCACGTTACTTAGCAACCGTGGGCCAACCGCGAGCAAACAAATTTACAGAGGTCACACCCACATATGACAAAGAATTCACACGAATGTCGTGGGTGTTGCGATCCACTGAATTTTCGTTTTCTTTTCAGGAGAAGACTAAGCAGCCAAAAATCTTCAGACAAAACTCACTGGGGCATGACACCGCCTTTATTTAGGCCCTCACAAAGAGGAAACGTTCTTTGATCTTATCTTTGTTGAAAGCGAGAGAATGATAACATGGAGTATTCGCCAAAACATGCTCAGTAGAAACAACTCGAACATGTCTCGTTGCATGCAATCAGCATTAAAGATATATTTCTGAGAAACGCAACTGAATTGAACTGGAAAGAGATTATGGTTATTTTGGCCCTGAATTATTTTACAAATAGAACGCACCCTACTGAGTATCAGCCTGCCAACAAAATATGGATTTCGAGCACTTTTCTTCCTTGCCACAGCAAAGAACACAATGCGCAAATTGTCGAAAAAGAGACCATGAATTATCAAAACATCGGTAACAACGTGTCTTTGAACTTGTATTATGTCTAGAAAAATTGCTGTATTGTCACCCAGGGTATTAATTTTTAATCAGGCGGTTTTGATAAGCCGAACTATTTTCTCTTTCCGTCGCGAATCTACAAATAATTTTCACATTCCTTTAGTTTTACTATTATTATCTTCTTAGAAAAGCTATTTTTCACAAGTTGCCAGGCCTAATTTTTTGCTCCTACAAAACTGTTGAAATATTTACCGCTTTGCCTTGATATTGCTGGACTAGTGTAAAACCGATTAAAAGAGAGAACTATCTTACAAATATTAAACATACCCTGGTATCGGTTATTAAAATTTAACAGTCACATCAACACGTTGCAAAATTATAGAAGGCGCTTTTCTTTGTGAATCTGTCAGAGCCTGTACCACAAGCAAATTCGGGAAAACGAGTCTTCCGTAGTTCTAATCTGCTAATCTGAAATGTGGTTTGGTTTAATTGTGTCAAAATGGATCGAGATCTTCAATTGGTGGTCGCCCAGGTTTCACGTAGAGTTACCTCTCACTCTGATGGCATATATTATTTTGACACACGCGTTGTAATTGTGATCAATACAGCTCTTTAAAATGTAAGAAAAAAGTATGCGCGAAATATCTTGTGTTCTCTCGGTAAGCCTTTATCGCACTGAAAATAAGCGAAGACTTTTTGGCGTGATTTTTATCCATTTGATCAGCCGATGCAATCCACAGGAAAATATTTCTTACGGTGCTATACGAAACATGTTCTTATCAAATTAAAATTTGATAAAAAAGATGAACTGATTTGTTTTTTTCAAGCATCAGGAAAATAAACGATATTTGTTTCCCTCATAAAGTAATCCGTGATATCGAACGTTTTCATGTAATGTTTTCCGCTCTTCAGTCATTTTGTTTTGACTAGCTCCTGGTTTTCATAAAAATGCGGTTTATCTTAAAACAAAAAATACATGACTGATTATAACTAGAAGGTTGTATATGGAAATTTTTATTGTACCTCAAACTGATTGATCTATAATTTAGTTTTCATTTGCATGCATAGCAGTTTTGTAGCTTTGAATAAACTAAACCTTTAGATTTTTTTTCGTCTCATTATTAATAATCTCCCTATACACCTCAGTTTAATTCTCCTTATTTTATTATTATCTACAGGAAATAAAGTGTTTCCTCACCTTTTGATACTATTCCAAAAGGATACAATAACATTTTCTGGACACCGAAAAGTTCCTAATATTTAACAACAAAAAATCAAACAAAGATAGCCATAAAACATTTCAGACATTTACCACCTTTCTTGTTTTAAAAAGTTTAGTTTCCTGTGAGAAATCAGTCAATTCAGTTGCACAGTTTAAATATCGTTAATAATTCCAAAATCAAAGACATCTTTCAGTTGTACTGCGACATCTGCAGCAAGATCAGTGATCATTGAGGTGTGGAAAATCAAAGGCTCACGGCCGCTTTTTCGAGTTGGTTACGTAACTTTTTATTCGCTTGTCGCAGCAGATTCTTCTTCTGTTTTAGGCTTTATCTCTTCTAAGGAAGGCTGAGGATCTGCCATCAGCAATATTTCATTATGGCGACCAAAGAGCCTAAATGGCGGGTCATGGCCGGCAGCGACGTACATGTTCTTCACATATCCCTTGCCGTCCCTGTCCAACAGCTCTTTCAGCTTCTTTTCGTTTTCCCTCCAGTCTTTATCCTTGGCGAAGCCACGAAAATTCAACGCGTACATAACGCGTCCTTCGACTTTCTCGTGAAAAACCGTTTTATCTTTTGGGACTGGAGGGTCGGCCTGGTGCTCAGCTGGGGTGTAGAAACCCATAGTGAAGACCTTGCACTGCCCTTCGTCGTCGAGTTCCACTCGGGATTCAACTGGGACAGTCATGCTAATCTTCTTGCCAGCTTCGTTCTCTCCCCTGATGTAATTAAACAGCCGCCAGAATCCAGTACTGGAACAGTTTTCTAAGTTCCCCTCCTCAAATCTTGTCTTGACCCAGTGGGAGTCTTCGTACAAGCGAACTTCGTAACCATCTTTGTGTTCGAGAACCTTGTAACGCGGACCTTCAGAACCTCGGTAACTTTCGGGCGTGTGAAATTCGCTCGTGTCTACCTTCGGTTTTTCTTCGCCTTTCAACCAGCTTAACATGGCTGCCTGGATGTTTCGGGCAATAAAAGAAGCGAAAAATACCACCGGCGAGAAATTAGGGCGAGCAATCGTCACGACGTGAGTCCTACATGCGTTCATTCACGGTCGGTTACGTCAAGTCACGCAATCAACACAACAAACACATTGCGTGACTATCCACAGAGACCCGGGGCCTACGAAGCGTGAAACGACAGGGCATCCTTTCTTGTTATTTGCTTTGTTTTAATTGTAGTGCGTTTTGGTAAAGGAGCTAAATTTTTCAGACCAATTTTCGATTGCAGCTTGATCAAGGTGAGGGAGTTTTATGTTTCAGAAAATCAAAATGTGGTGGGACTGTCGTTATAGGACTAGCGTGACAGAATTTTCCGTGGTCACTCAATCTGTTTAGTTCGGAGGAGTCACACTTGAAATCGGCGACAATCATTACGGGCTCATCAATTATTTCCATGCATGTAGAGCTAACAAACTCGCGAATAAAATATGCCAAAATGTTGAATTTGAAAACTAAACAGTAAAATTATGAAAAGATTAAAACTGCATGTCTCTATATCTTTTGTCGCTTGCTTCTTGCTGACTTAGCATTATATTTAATTTAAACAAAAGTGTCAAGAATTGAAAGTGAGTAATAGAAAATGAAAGGTGGAAAAGGGCAGCATTAAATTAAATTACGGTCGTAAAATAAGAAATCACTCTTTTGAACTGCCATGTACTAAGTTTAGCTGAAAAAAGATAAATACTTGATAATTTATTAGCTTGTAAAAGACGTGAAAATTGTAATAACCTGATCAAATGTAGTTCAAACAAGTCAAAACATTAAAATGGCAAGCGACAAACAACTCGTCCCCAGGGCCTCTCTTCTTCCCGCCCAAGAGAGAGGCGGGAAGTGGAAAGACCCTGGGAACAAGGTTGCTGATAAAGTGCCCTCGATGGACCATTTGAACCAACCCTTACGGACACCTATACAGTATGGACTGTTCTCTCTATTTCATTATTACGATTATTACAGACAAAACAGTTATAATTTACTGGGCCAGTTTGGCTGAAAACGAAATTGAAGAGGTTTAAAATTGGCGCTTATAAAATGTTTTTGCCGTGTTAAAACAAATTTGTGTTACAAAGGTCTAAAATCATTCATGATAAAATTGAACAGGAGTTCATGACCATGAGATCCTAATTTTTCGGTGTGAATCAGTCTATTCATTTGTAACCTTGTGATGGAAACTTTTAGCTAAATTAACTTGAATGCACAGACTAAGACACCACCAGGGCACCCGACGGAAGTGTTCCGCGAAAAAGGTGTTCCGCAGGGGATGTCTGTGCTGGCTGGGGGATAATTACCCGTCGGATGGCTTAGAGAGGTACATCAGTGCTGTTGGAAAAATTGGTGTTGGGAATGGCGTCTAGTTTCAGATAGCTGGAAAAGGACAGCGTTTGTTGCTTCTTGTGGCGTTTGTGTTAATGTGGCTTCGTCCTGAGGAGAAGAATTAGATTACATGTAAGCAATGCCCCCCCCCTCCCCTTTATTGAAGGTTTTAATTTGTCCCTGATGTCACATTCTCGACCCCCCACACCCTTCCCTATGCCCCCTATTGAAGGTCTACATTTGACTCTGGCGCCAGACCTTATCGAAGTTTGTGAAGTAAGCGGATGATTTTGTTGATGGTTGAGTTTTGAATAGACTCTGCGGGGAAATAGAACTTAAGATACGTTTCTGTTGGGGGCGCGGAACAGCTAGATCGTTTGGAGCAGAAAATTACAACAGTTTAAGAAAGCCTAATTTGTTCTTTAATCCTGGAGAAGTCTGTTCCCTTATTGATACTGAAACTGTTAGCCCGCTGATTACCTCTGAAAAAGGCTAAATTAAACCAACCACGTTAACCAAATAGCTTGAAAACATGTTTTCGCCCAGAGTTCGTGTTTTTACTCAATACTCTTGTCAGGAAACAGACCGCGTAAATTTAAAACATCTTGGCTAGCAATATTTCTTCAAAGGTTAAACTAGCATTTTCGAATTAAAAAAAACGACAACTTATATTTAGGATCAACAATTACCGCCCCTTTGGTTGACAACTTTGCACGCAACGGTAGTTTTGAGGCTTAAAAGCCTCGTCAAAATGATTTAATGCTTACTTATTGTGCGGATGCCAAATAATACATCTTGTGGCGCCATAAATTCTAGAACTATACGATTGTTTCGATAGTCATTTTATTAAAAAGAATACCTTAAACTCCGGCATACAATAAGTCAGGAAACCAGATGTTATTATCGTCGTGTATCGGTCTACTGAGCTTGTTGGGGTCGTTGAACACACTGTTCGCATTACAAAAAGGAGGAAAACAAATTCTTGGAGAGAGTTCAAACTCGTGCGGTGTTGAGTGAAACAACAGACATGAGAATTGGACAGATAGAAGTAAAATCAAAGATAATAATTATAGAAAAGTTTTACAAATAATGTTTAAAACATTGAATGTTAATTTTTTTTCCCTTTCAAAGTGTGGTGGAAACAAGATTTTTGGAACCTCCAAGGGAAACGAAAATTGGTTTCAAAAGTCGATAGTTCTGGAAATCGAGGGTAAAATTACAGTGTTCGACTGAATGGAGGGAAACGCGGGCTTTTAGTTCGAGTTATTGGGAGGTTTGAAAAATCGAGGGTTCGAGAAATCGAATTTCCACCGACGGTTAAATTTTTCTGCAATTTTCGGCCCATTTCAAAAATTTTAAGATATTCCCACTGTTTTGCATCAGTGTAAAGCAAGAGACTTGTATCAAGTCATTTCCCAGACTACAAAATGGTTGTTCTACAGTGAGGCTCCGACCTCACGCAAAATGAGGACTGTTTCGTTTAGTCTATAGCACTCTAAAGCTTTCCTGAACTGTCTGGCCGCGATTTCACCCCCCTATCATAACTGGTGCTACAATGAGCAAAAACAAGGTTTCAACTTGATGTTGTTTCCTTTGTTTAAAAACAACTCAGGTCTTGAGATCTGTCTTCCACAAAACTGAGGTCATTTGAGGATAGGATACCTTTGTGTCTCAATTTTTTCATCAGTGAGACTTAAAAGCGTGCAATACACGAGTGGAGCTTGAGTAAATATTTGTTTAAAAAAAATACAAGAGAGTGGCACGGTAGGTGAGAAAAGTGATTACGTCTTTGGCACATTGACAGACGCGTTCAGAGACGGAAATGCCGCTACTTAATGACCATTTAAAAGTCTCGCATAACAATGCTCTCTGAATTAACAGCTGCAAACTACTTCGTACGTCTTCGAGAAGACGATCCACCAATGAAAGCCGATCGTGTGAGCTTCGAGGAGCCCTCGGAATCCTAAGAGGTGACTCGCAAGGCAGAAAATGGGTTTCTGTGTAAGAAACTGGTGAAGAAAGGGCAAATACTTGCTACTGTACCTTGAAAATGGTTTCTATGAATTGTAAATATTAACTCATCGGGTGCGAGATTAAAGCTAGCTAATCTCTAAGACCTCTTAATTAGCTTCGTACGTAAATTGGCTTTTCATGCAGATAACTGTATTTGAGGTTCCATAATGAACTGTACTGTACCTCTGAAAATTATTCAGTCATTTCAACATGCATGTGTTTGCATTTGAAAGAAATAATTCTCGGGGGTAACCTCGTTTGAAACTGGACCAACGGCAGTTAACATAGCCATAAAAGCTATCAGCATGTCGAACAACGAAAAAAAAAACGTTTTCACAAATCATCCACTCTCTATTGTTCTGAGCTATCAGTATCAGCTTAATTTTACGTAAGCACCGTCAAATAAATGTCACAACATTCCTTATCTCCGAAATCGAATGCTTGGGATCACAACTCCGAGATGTCGTGACGCACTTGACAACTTTGCATAAAAGGGAGGAACTTTGAGCGAAGCTTGCGACACAAGTCTAAACAATACGTAGAGAGCGAAAGGTACTATAAGTTGCGTAGACGAGAGAGTCAACAGTCATTCCGCAAAAGCTATGGTTTATCTAAAAGAATTCGTTTCGGTGTGTCTCTTAATAGCCTTCCTATTGACGTTTACAAGTGCGAGGAAGGAAAAAGGTAATATTGGTAACATTTTAATACACTACATGTATTCTACTGACCGAATGTGCATTTTCAATTCACTTCCCTTTGTGCCTAATACGTCCTGCCGTTAAATATATACCACCTTCTTTATTTTTGTGCAAGGAGTGCGAAGACCAGTGAAGAAAGAATCTATTTACTCTTTTTTTTCAGAGCTTGCAGCTCTCAACAAAAAAGTTGATAAAGTCCGACGCTTTTTGTTACTACACGCGTGGATGCAGTCAGAA